ATATTTTAACTTTAAAAATTCGATTTTTTTTCCTTTAGGGCTTTTTCCCACGATGACATCCCGTCTTTGGCAGCTACTTTTTCCCGTCCAGTGTCACGCCAAAACCGATTCGTTCGAATTAGGGATTCAGTCTTGTCATTATAAATAATAATAAAATAATAAAAACGTTTATTTGAACCAAAAGTTACATTATGCATGTATTACTATGCAAAAGTTACAAAAAGTGGCATGATAATCGGGGGTCCCATGACTACTAAACTAGGTTAGAACCTGTATCTTAGTAGTCAGTGATTCCTCAACTAAGATTTAAATACAATGACTTGGTCCGATATCATTATACTGGACCAGTAAAAATGGGATTCCATCCATTATTTGCTTCCCGCGTAGAAAATCCCGTACCTGCAAAACACGATATAACTGTCGTGTGAACACAGTGTATGAAATCCAGTTTTGCGGAATCCAGTAATGCAGGATCCCACAACTAGATGCCATGGGCAAGGGCCTTTAATAAAACCTCAAGTATAAAATTTTCGACTTCTACAACCTTATTGAGGTATAATAAAGAATATTTTCTTCCTCTGCTAAACAAATCTTCTACATTTTCCAGAAAGAGACCAAAATAACTCCTCCAAGGATAGGAGCGGCATCCTCAAGCTTGCAAGGCTTGCTGAACGCTGCCATATCGAGGAACAAGCTGCAAGTTCAAACCACAGATTACAGCAAAGAAGAAGTCTGGAACCACTTTAAAGGTCTCCAAGATAGAGCTTCACAGTATCTTATAAAGTAATATAGAAATAAATACAAAAGGTAAGGGAACATTTTAAGCAATCTAAGGGCCGGTTCCACCAAGGCATAGCGGAGCGGAGCAGAGCGAAGCAAAAAGAAGCAGAGCGAGGCTGAGCGAAGAAGTGTTTGTTGGCTTCGTGGCGCAGAGCGGAGACGAAAAGGGGAAATAATGAAATCTATTTATTTACAGATACAGAAAATTGTATGGTATGGTGGTGAATTTTAGAAAAAAAAAACGAAAATCTTTGAATGCAGTTTTTATACCAAAAATAAATCAATGTTTTCTTTGAGTAAAATTTTTATCTACAGTATTAAGAGTAAGTACTTTCCCTCCAGGTGGCATTACGAAATTCCACACTGTTTAAGTTCGTCTGATTGGTTCTTCAATACACTTTTACGCTCCGCTCCGCTTTGGTGGAAACCAGCCTTAGACTTATCACCCAGCGAGCAAAAAGTCCTTGATTCATATTCCAACTGGAGCAATTGATTTTTTCAACCGAAAAAGCTTCTGAAACGTCTATTTTGAAAGAAATCAACATTAAGTAACAGAACTTACACGGAAATTAGTTACTATCTCAAACTAAATGTCACGTAACGTTCTTACATAACAATGATTGCTTATCAATTTGTATAAAAGGTAGTTATTTAATAATTCTATGATTATTTTCTAAGTTCATTTCTCATCATGTTGTTTATTATTTCTCTTGCAAGTGTGTTTGCTTGTCAGGTAAATTATTGTTTTTGTTTTTGTTTTTGTCCTAATTTTAGTGCTGTAGTACTGTAGTACTAAGCGAGACGTGCTATATTTTGACCTAGTGTTAAAAATAGACCAATACTTATAATTGCTATTGTTATTAACACTTTGAGTTACAAAATAATTTTTGGATTAGTTACCTTTAATAATGTGTAAATGGACTTATTATTATTATATAATTCAATCGTCACATCTTTAAATAGAATTTGAGTATCTTTCATCGTAAAACTGCGACTCAGTTAAACCTATTTTCTTTCTAAAACTGTCTTCTTTCTTTTCAGCTTTCGTCAGCTCAAATACTGTCTCTAGGACTTCAAAATGGACAATTTTCAGCACCAGTACTGCAAAACGTCAATCAAAATGTTCAACGAACGATAACTGTGCCAAGTAACAGCATTATACTGCAAAATAGCGGTATTAACAACTATGCCAGCAATCTCAACACCATTGGCAATATCAATTCAGGCATTGGCACCATCAGCACCGGGATTGGCAACGCCAATTCACTGAATTCGCTACAGTTGAGCAACGTGCCAGTGGCTTCAAATATTCAACTGGTGAAGAACCTGCCAGTTACTGGCGTTGTTGCTAATAATATTGGAAGCAGCAATATTATTACTGTGCCAAACAATTTGGTTGCTACGAATGTTGGTTCCAACTTTGGCAGCAACATAATTAGCGCCAATGTCGGAAACAATTTGGTTGGTGCCAATATTGGAAGTAATTTAGTTGGCGCCAATATAATCAACACCAACTTGGGGTCTAACGTAAATAATGGCAACTGGGTTAACGCCAATGTGCCAGTAAACTTGGCAAATGGCTTCAACATCAACACTGGCACGTTTGCGATTGGTAACACTGGTTTGGCCAATATTTTGCCAAGCGGACATACTTGTGGCATCCAAATATTAGGCGATGCTTTGCAAGTTGGTGGCGCCGTAGACGTGAATGGTCAACTACCCTTCTACACGACTGTCAGTGTAAATGGTGTCCTGCCTTCAAGTGGTGTCGGAGTGGTTAACTGTGGTTGTGGTGGCCAAGGATCATAATTTAATTTAAACTTGTGATAGTAATTTATTAAAATAAATGTCTAAAAAAATATTTGTTTTGACTTTTATTTTCATCTGAATCTCTGAAACGGAAGTCTCTTGGGATCTAGGCTCCGCTTTAAAACCGGGCAATCTGTGTTTATTTATTTATTTATTTATTTATTAACACCAACAAGACATACACCATTTTAGACAATATTATACATGCTTACATACTATATTATGCTTACATTATTATACGTGTTGGTGTACAACTGACGTCATAGGTTTTTAATGTTGTAAAAAGTATGTCAATTGAGTGTTGATGTCAACCACCTCAGTATACTAGAAACTTCATCAACTTTGCCTCCACCAATCAATTGACGTACTTTTTATAACTATCAAAACGAGACTCTCCCATAGATTTTCACTATTTTGTCAACTTAATCAAACTAGTTTTTTCAATTACAATGCTACCAAAAATCTTAATTTACAGGTAATTTAAAATTGGTTAACGCCCGTATTCACAAACATTACTATGAGGTCGCACAGTGCGCGTGGACGCACAGGGTGACACACGAACCAATCACAGAGCTCTATTCAACGCTGTGCCTCCAATTTGCTGCTTCACTTAAGCAAGCATCGTTTGTGAATACGGGCGTAAGTTTTTAAGACTAGAATGAAGTGCCTTTTAAAAAAAGTTGTTTAAAAAAGAGTGGTGGCAAATTCCCAATTACATAATTTGATACCACGCAGCGTAAAACTGAATCAGTCGACTAGCTAGACGTAACGTTTTCAAAGAAAAGTATTATGAAGTAAGGATGCTAAATAATGCATTAGTATTTAGAGACTAGAGTGAACGAACGAACGAACTCTATCGGACTTACTCGCACCTACTTATTTGACTAGGAAGGAATACCGAGTCTGTCCTGTAATTTCTTTCTGTAAACAAAGGTATTTTTTCCCGAAGTGATGGTAGGTAAAACTAATGTAGAATTTGAATTCGAATACATAGCTAGGCAGCACGTTGGGGCAGAATCAGAATAGTTCTCGAGTGGCGACCACGGGCTGGAAGAGCCTGGATGCGGGCAGCGCAGGACCGTTCATTGTGGAAACCCTTGGAGGACGCCTTTGTCCAGCAGTAGACGTCACTTGGCTGAAACGAACGAACATAGCAAGACAAAACGGGTAATGTCAACATAATAATTATTGTGATAATAAATTCGTGCCTGATACAACTATGTAAGTTTATTTTTCCAACAGTGCGTGACTTTGGGTACTGGACTTCTATGCCAGAGACCGCAGGTTTGCACAATACAAGGTGTTAAGTAAATGGGACTAGTGTCAGCTTATAAACCCATTCACCTAACACCACCCTATATGTATAACATTTATTATGTGCATTATGCATAAAATTTGTTTATATTGATCTGGGTGTTTTCTTCGTAATTTTATAGCAAAAGTTTCAGGTAATTTCAAAACATGATGTCACTTTATAAACTCGATCGCCTCCAGAGCTATCGTATTTTCCCTCTTCTTCTTCTTTTATTGATGGCAATCAAATCTCTGGGTCTTATTTGTGCCAATGCTAAATTCACTACCATCCGCTTAGCAATGGAGGGAAGTCGAACCTTAATTTCGAACTCCTCATGTTCTTCTGATTAATTTCGTTGCGGGTCCAATGACAGTTTAACTTTCTCTCGGGACAAACTTGACCTTCACTGGATGGGTTTTATTGGCGGTCAAGCTGTAGATCCTGGCTACACAGAAGTTGCAGCGGTGGGAACGAGAGGTGGGAACAATCCCTACCCTCTACGGAATCTTATTTTCCCTCAGCAGTTAGCACTAATGTAGAGTAAGTTACTCGCCCGTATTCTCAAACATTACTATGAGGTCTCACAGTGCGCGTGGACGCACAGGGTGACACACGAACCAATCACAGAGCTCTATTCAACGCTGTGCGTTCGATTTTCTGCTTCACTGCGTGACCTGATTTTATTTTTTAACAGTCTTTTCATTTAAAATGCTGCAAAAATTAAAAATTTAACTGTTTTTTTTTTCAAAACTAGTGTCAAAAGCAAGAAGCGAATTTCATTGTTATTTAGGTTTCTGGGTGAGACTTGCTTACACCTCCAGTCTGATCATCACCTTCCAATGCAGATGTATGAAATGCAGACCAAGAGCTTCTACAATGGGGGTAAAAAAGGTGTTTTTAAAAACCGTAGCTTATTTCTTCCAATCAAATAGCTGAGGTGATGGATTTTCCATGGTATTTTATAATAAGTTTTCTAATATTTAAACGGTAAAAGTAAAACAAAAAATATAAATAACAAGCGTTTTAATTTAATGAAATATTCGATAAATCACAGCAACACTTACAAATACACATGTTCACACCAAAATAATTCAAAACAAACAATTAATTAAAATAATTAATTAGTACACCCACATATATCGCTGGCTACGGAGACAGTGCCTTCTGCTGGGATATAGCCTTCAAAAGTGACGTAGCCAATGATTGGCAGCTCGCCAGTGTAACCTATATTGGCATCATTCACTAATTCTATCTCCCCTAGTTTGAAATTGGAGATGCCAGAAACTGGCAGGTTGCCAAGTGAAATAGTGTTCGATCCGCCAATAAAGCTGTTGCTGCCAACGGTGCCAGCAGCCAAACCTGCTCCACCGCCAATCGCCAAGTTAGTGGATCCCACATTGCCAATGTTGGCTCCAACAAAGTTGCTGCCAGCGCCAACAGTGCCAGCGGCTAAACCTGCTCCGCCTCCAATCGCTAAGTTACTGGATCCCGCATTGCCAGTGTTGGCTCCAACAAAGTTGCTGCCAGCGCCAACAGTGCCAGCGGCCAAACCTGCTCCACCGCCAATCGCCACGTTACTAGCTCCTGTATTTCCAAAGCTGTTAACAAGGCCACTGGCCAAGCTGCCACCAAAACCGCTCGCACTGGCACTGGCACCACTACTGGCTAAACCAACAATACTGGCTCCAGCGTTATTTTTGGCGTTATTCGCAGCCAAGCTATTGCCAATCTTCGCCGCCAAACTCTTGGCGTCCGCTCCACCATAGCTGCCAATGTTGATATTGTTGGAGACACTGTTGCCAGAGATTTTGCTGCTTGAGGCGAGGCTGGAGGATTTTCCCAGAGAAACTTGTGCGAAACCCTGGAAGAATAAACACAATTAATTTGACTTGCCACCACTCATTAAAAAATTAAGCGTGGTACCTATTGCAATCCATAACATTATTTGATTTCCGAAACTACTGAACTGATTTGAAAAAATTTTTCACCATTAGAATCCTACATTACTTCTGATGAACATAGGCGGTACGAACTTCGCCGGAGTAGCTAGTGTAGAAAAAATATTTACCTGAGCAAAACTCAAAGCGACGCAGACTGCAAAAACAAAACTTGCCATTGTCATTGTTATTCTATCCAAAATAAACAATGCAAATAAAATGCTTCGACCGACTTTTATACATTTAATTACATAATTAATTATACGTTATCACACAAAACTACATAAAATAGTTACATTAGTTACATAATAAAGATAATTACAATTATTGCAAACATTATGATTGTATTTTCTTAGAAAAAGACCGCTCGGTGTGGAAATCCTTGAAAGAGGCACATCTAGTTTAACATTTTGGCATCTTAAACAGTTATAATAATAGTGGTTATGCAATAAAAATGTAAAGTCTAATGTGCTCATCCTCATAACTGAGAAATATTACAAACTAGTGGCCGCCCGCGACTTTGTACGCGTGGATCCCGTTTTACCCACCTTAGGGGTTGAATTTTGCAAAATCCCGTCTTAGTGAGCCCCTACGTTCTAAAAGGAACCCCCATGCAAAATTTGAAACTTCTAGCACTTGTCGTTTCTGAGATTTCCTGATGAGAGAGTGAGTCAGTGACTTTTCGCTTTTTATACTTTTGCCAATTTGACATGGATGGATATTGCAGACTTGAATCAACTCGATTGCCTCAAGAAATTTTCATGCATCAGAAGGTGTAGTGGACAGCCGCTCGGGCGGGCAAAATTGACGAAATACCTTTTAATTAATTCAAATAGGTTTATTTTCATCAAAAATGCCCAGACGGCTATCAAAACTAAATCCACAAACTTAAAAACAAAAAGAATACAAAAAAAAACAAAATTTCAAAAAAAGGTTGGTATACCTATTGGTTCCCAACATCCTCCCCTCCTGTGGCGAAGCCTCATACTCTAGGGGTGCATCGACAAGTGGATCAGCCTGGTCAAAGGCCGACGGAGACAGCCCCCAGATGTGGACACTGCCACACGAATGATGCCTTCACGACCAGGAAAAACTCTGGTGACTTGGCCACGGGGCCAAGTACACCTGGGCAGTGATGGGTCCACAACTAGGAGCAGATGACGGCCAATGAGCGTTGACTTCTGGTGGAAGAGCCACGAGGCAAGAGGGACGGCAAATACTCCATCAGATTCACCTCTCCTTCAGTTCCAGAAATCTAATTGCTTTTTCAAACACATCTCTTCTCCCCCCATCTTTTCTTAAAGGTTATCAAACCTTTGTTTGTCACCTGTCATCCGCTTTGCAATGGAGGGAAGTCGAACCTTAATTTCGCTCCTCTTAATGTTCTTCTGATTAATTTCGTTGCGGCAGTTTAAATTAGCGACAGCTTAACTTTCTCCCGGGACAAACTTGACCTTCATTGGTTGGGTTTTTATGGCAGTCAAGCTGTAGATCCTGGCTACACAGGAGTTGCAGCGGTGGGAACGAGAGGTGGGAATAGTCCCGTAAACACATCTTTTCTCTCCACTTTGATGTAAACCGGGTCTAAGTCATCAGTGTGTTTGATGTTACTTAAACTTCATTTAAAAATAACATAACAATTCCAGTAGTAACTTTGTGTAACTCCGTTCTAAGAATTACGTTGTTACATAAATGATAAAAGTGTTCTAATTTTCTACAAACTAACAATATTGATAAAGTTTGTTACAAAATGATACAATGAAATGTATAAAATAGTGCACCTGTTTTGGTATCATTATCACTTTACAGTTGAATTTAATTCAAACATCATGTCTTCTTTTGCATTCTTATTCCTCTGCATTCAGGCCTGCCTGATCCAGGTAAGAACTTAAATAATACCAAGGTTTAAGAGTCCATGGATAACAATTTGTACGCAAATTCAAAGACACCGCTCACTTAAATCGAAACACTTCCCTTGTTTCGCCTTGTTTGTCCTTTTGAGAGGACCTTTTTAGAGATCCTAATAAGAGAAAACCTCCAGGCATAATCCAAAATTAGTAATAAACACCACATCACGCTTTGAGTGATTTAAGTGATTGAGCCTTCTCATGAGGCCCAAAGCACTTTGCCATGAGAAATGCTTTTAGTATCTACAAATGGCCAGGTTCAATAGTAACCCTTGACACGAAAAAAATAAAAAGAAAGACTAAAATGAGTGCCGTGACGTCCCCGATTTGTTATGCGCAATTTTGAGGCCCTGTAACTTCTTTATTTGTAGAGATATTTTCATGATTATTTCACAATAATAATTATTATTGGTTTTAGTTATATTTTCAAGTTTTATTAATAGAAAAAAAAATAGAAACTTCTCCATTAAAACAATTTCGTATCATTTCAGAATGCCTTCTCCCAAATAATCTCGCGAGGTTACAACCCCATGGACGTTGAAGTCGACGCTCTCAGCTACGGAATCTCTGGAGGCCTCAGCGGCTATGGAGTCGGCGCCTCTGGATACGGACTTGGCAGCACCAACGTAGGACTTGGCGGCGCCAGCGCGATCGGACTTGGCAGTGCTAACATTGGCGGCGCCAGCAGAATCGGTCTTGGCAGCGCTAACGCCATCGGACTTGGCAGTGCTAACGTTGGTGGCGCCAGCAGAATCGGACTTGGCAGCGCTAACGCTATCGGACTTGGCAATGTGAACGCCGGCGGCTGGTCTGCGGGCACCGTTGGCAGCGGCTTCACTGGCGGATACGCCCCCTCAGACGTTGCCGCCGTTGCCGCTCTGCCAGTCTCTGGCCCGTACGGCGGTACTGGCTACGGAGAGATGGCCGTTGGAGGCGACTTTGGCGCGGCTGGCAATGCCATCGTGACCGGCCAGCTGCCAGTGCTTGGTGCGGTGTCGTTCAATGGCAACATCCCCGCCAGTGGCGTCGTGTCCATCGCTGGCAACTGCCCCTGCGGTGGTGTGCAGTTGTAAGCCATAGCTTACCAATGAAAATATTATGTTTTGTTTGTTAAATAAAGTTATAGTTTTGTATTATTTTTGTAGTCTTAATTACCTGATAATGATAAACGAAATTGGACAGTGCGTCGATCGTTTAGAAAGGTTTCAAAATGAAAAACTATTTTTTTTTCTAATAGTCAATCTTTGACTTAAATTGTATTTTCAACATAAATACTTATAATCCTGGTTCCTTAACTAAGGACACCTTCATTAATAGCATTTGTAATCAAATCAAACCATTAGAACTGTGTTATTAATTTGTGTCGTATTGGCTAGGTCAGGGCTTACCAAAGTTATTTTTACTATGATGCCTTGGGAATTTAGAATTTTATGCGATGAAAAAATATAAAAATAAATATTAAAATGTATTCTAAAAGTCTTTAGACTTTTGTTTTTCGATGAATTAATGGAACTCAGTAATATTTCCACATAATTATATATGACAAGAATTTTTTTTATTAAAATGTTAAAATGTCAAGGTTTATAAATGCACTTACAGCTTTCTCGTACAACTAGCTACGCCCGCGACCTCCTCCTACGAGTGTAAATCGTTTGAATGATCCTATTGGTCGTAGCATGATAATATGTATTTCTATAGCCTATAGGCTTCATCGATGTGTCGAATGTGCTATCCAATACATGCAATAAAGACCGTAAGTTCATGCTAAGGCACGCAAAACTGCCAAAAATGCCAATTGAATATTAAGTTTAGGGAATAGAGGCCGTACTAGCAAGCGCAGCGTGCGACGTCCACCCTCGACACCTTCGAGGTGGATAAATAATCGATCCTGGATGCCTATTTTCCGTCTAGCCAATGAATGTTTAAGGTTATATGGGACTCTCCCTGCCAGAAAGGTGGGTCCTTCCCACTAAAACCCAATCGTATCCTAAATGACATGAAGCTGTTGATGATTCCTTTAGAATTTGTTGAAACTGGTGTGTTCATTCCTTAGCGACTTTACAAATTAAAGTTAACAAACAAAGATTTATACAGTACTACTAGAAATGCTGTGCTAAGCTAAGAAATTAATCTAGCTGATTAAGTTGTCTAAAGCTATCATTATATTATTTAACATTTAGTCAATAGTCAGCGAGAGAGAGCATTAAAATGTGCTGCGAAGCCCACGAAGATTGTAGTGTATAGTGTGAACGTAGGCTGCTCTTCCACCAAGTATGTGCTCAGCTGAGATTCCAAGGCTATGCTTGACTAGTTCCAGTAGCATCACATCGTTATCTAGCTTCGCTCAGTGTAACTCTACACATACAAAACATGATGTCAAGCCATGTTGCTTTCAAGGGATGTGTTGCAAGAAATATACGAGAGACGCAAGTAGGAACTGGGAACAGTGGGAACAATCTAAAAAGTGGAAACTCGAGGAAAAGTTACTTTGAACTCGCTGCAAGCAGTCAGAATCAACAGAGACCTCTCGTGAAGATGAGAACCATTTTTGTGTTGCGGCAGTTGGAGGTAAGTTAGCCAGTTCCACTGTGGTCTGTGACTGAGGATTCTGAGTGAAGCTCACTTCCACCTTCGGCCTGATCATCACTTTCCATCTGATCAGGCTTCGTTGTGAATAATAAAAAAGTTATTTATGTTTTGAAATTAACCATGGATGATGTTAAACACCTACTGAAACCTCAAATGCTGTAAATTTTAAATAAATAAATATACCAGGTATACAATAATAAGTAAATACAATACAATAATAAATAAATAAATAAATAATAAATAAATAAATTCTTTATTGAATAACTTATTGACAGTTTTTAACAATAGGCTAATATTAAACTATAATATGTAAAAGTACATACGTGCCTGAACTAAGAATTATAATTCCTGTATCTCAGGCAAAAAAAAAGGCTTACATTACTTTATTAATAGAACTATTTCTAGCAAAATATATAATCTAATATTTATACATAATAATATATAATTAAAAATTAAAATAATTAAGCTAAGTATATAAATTTTAATATAATAGGATATAATATACATAATATACCAAAACTAAATCCTGCCAAAAAAAGTAGCCCTAAGTGCAATAATTTAGATGAAAATATAAGTATAATGAATAATAAGTATTAAATAAGTATATTAATAATAAAAACAGATTAAAATAAATTTGATAATTAATAATCATAGAATAATTAATGCAACAAATCTAAAAATCTTCCTCTCTCCTAAAATGCAGTGCCCGACAGGGTCCATAATTGTATCTTACCTTACCAATAACACCTTTTGTAAACATTATGGAAGCAATAAACTATTGAGTATTGAGTATTGAGTATTGATTAATACTAGAACTAGCGGCCACCCGCGACTTCGTACGCGTGGATCCCGTTTTACCCCCTTAGGGGTGGAGTTTTGTAAAATCCTTTCTGAACGGATGCCCACGTCTAACATCTACCTGCATGCCAAATTTCAACCCGATCCGTCCAGTGATTTGGGCTGTGCGTTGATAGATCATTATCTTCACCTTAAAGGCCGGCAACGCACCTGTAACGCCCCTGGGTCTGCGGGTGTCTATGGGCGACGGTAATCACTTACCATCAGTGATCCGTCTGCTCGTTTGCCTCCTGTCACATAAAAAAAATGTCAGTCAGTCCTACCTACCTTTGAGCTATTTAGATTCCGAAACACTCACTAAACTTTCAGGAAATACAGGATTACTTACCTATAAGTTTATTTTTATATCCCCAAAGTACTAAGTCTCCTCATCCATTAAAAGTTGTGGTAAGTGTAAAAAGGTATCATCTTTTCATTACAACTTTGAAAAACAGAGAGTTTGGTTCACATTTATATTTAAGTGTGCTGTGGTTTTCTGAATAAAGAAAAATAAATAAAGTGGTAATAGTGTCAATTAATTTCTTAGGTATATTTCGTACTAATGAAACTATGTTATAATGTGTTGTTTTTCAAGAATCTCCTGATTTTGAACATGAGTATTGGTGTGAGAAAGTCAATCATCGAGATGTACTTATAGAGAACTAGCTGCCCGCCCCAGCTTCACACGGTTGCAATAGAATTTCCCGGCTTTTCTGTTCTAAAATATGCATGTTTTATACTTATAAACCTATCTTGAGTTTTGACTAAGTTTTGAGTCACTCTATCTATTAAAAAAAACCGCATCAAAAGCCGTTGCGTACTCCTAAAGATCTAAGCATACGTAGGGACAAACAGCGGAAAGCGACTTTGTTTTATACTATGTAGTGACTAGACTTTGTGTCATCAGCATCACTAGTTACAGGTGAAATTATTAAATAATAAAAGACAGAAACTTCAATTTACAGAATCTTTAATTGGTAGTCAAGTTTGTACTTAGAGCTGCACGCCACCGCAGGGGCAGTTGCCAGCGATGGACACGACGCCACTGGCGGGGATGTTGCCATTGAACGACACCGCGCCAAGCACTGGCAGCTGGCCGGTCACGATGGCGGTACCACCGGCGTTGAAATCGCCTCCGACGGCCAATCCTCCGTAGCCAGTACCGCCGTACGGGCCGGAGACTGGCAGAGCGGCAACGGCGGCAACGTCTGAGGGCGCGTATCCGCCAGTGAAGCCGCTGCCAACGTTGCCTGCTGACCAGCCACCAGCGTTGATGCTGCCAAGTCCGATGGCGTTGGCGCTGCCAAGTCCAATTGCGTTGGCGCCACCAAGACCGATAATGTTTCCGCCACCAATGTTAGCGCTGCCAAGTCCGATAGCGCTGGCGCCTCCAAGTCCGACGTTGGCGCTGCCATAACCGATTGCGCTGGCGCCGCCAAGTCCGATGTTGGCGCTGCCAAGTCCGTATCCAGAGGCGCCGACTCCGTAGCCGCTGAGGCCTCCAGAGATTCCGTAGCTGAGAGCGTCGACTTCAACGTCCATGGGGTTGTAGTAGCCTAACACTTGCGAGAAGGCATTCTGGAACAAAATAATTATTTGTTTAGTAATGTAGGAATAAAATACATTTTGTCAATCAATGTTCATTTCTTCCATTAGCTTTGAAGTCCTCATAATATTTTTTCTCTACCTCATCAAAAATTTGTTTGACACACAAGGACTGTAAACATTATTGCCACTTTATTAGAATGAGTCTTTCGCTGCAGTAATGAGTAAAAGTGGTGGATTGAGCCAAAAAATGCAAGTAAGTACATATTTTGCCAATAAGGATTCAAAACAGAGAGTTAGCTCTCAATATTCAAATTACATTTTTGATGATTATAGGATAAACTAATATTTAAAATTTTCTGTACCTGGATCAGGCAAGCCTGGATGCAGAGGAGTAGGAAAGAGAAGGAAGACATGTTTAATTCGAATCGAAAATTCTGAATGACAATAGGTTTGTAGGGCACGGTATTTATACATAATTGTTGAAATAACATGCTATCATACTTTCGTAATTTTCACTGTACAAGCTTCATTATCAAATCACGTAGCAGTGTCGTAGCTACTTGGTTTAGTTTCTGGTTAAGTATCTTTAACAATTGTAAAAATAATGTGGTACAACTTATGCAAATATGATAAGAAAACGTTGGTAAATTAAGTTTATATCAAAAATAATTAGTATATAAACTGCTGTGGATGATACAGAAACCATTATCGTCTTGTCAACCAAGTAAAAACAAAGATGGCAGCTAAAATTACTTTTGTCTGTGCTTTAGCACTCTTCGGACAGGTAAATTAACTTCATTTCAATAGGCTAACACTTGTTTCGACTTCTTGAGTGTTTTTTACGGTATCATCAAAATATGTATTTATAGTCTCAAACTAAATTAAACATGTACCGTAAGTACTACAGATCAAATATACACAACAACTTTTTTTTGTAAATAATATTGGTTGGTACTTAAATATAAAAACACACTGATTCAAAAATTCATCTCACCTCTGACCTAGTAAAATTTTCAATCACAACTCACAAAATGTTTTATTTCAGGCTGTCGTAGCCCAGTACTACCCGTCGGGCTCTTACGTCTCTGGCAACTCCATTGTTGACACCGACATCTTCATCAACGGTGGCGGCAGTGCCTATGCCTCTGGCAGTGCTTACGCCTCTGGCTCTGGCAGTGCTTATGGCTCTGGCAGCGCTTATGCCTCTGGCTCTGGCCTCGCTGTTGGCGGCGGCAGTGCTTACGGCTCTGGGCTCGCTGTGGGTGGACTTGGCCTTTCAAGCGGTCTTGGACTCTCAAGCGGACTTGGCCTCTCAAGTGGACTTGGCCTGTCCAACAACCTTGGCACCATCGGCGTGACTGCCCCTGCTACCATTCAGATTGGCAGCGGAAATTCTGGCTACAGCGTCGTGTCTGGCGGTCCTTTGGCTGTCACTGCCATCTCCCCCATCGGTCCCAGCGGTCTTGCCGTCGCTTCTGAGAACGCCATCGAAGGAAACCTGCTGGTGACCGGTCAGTTGCCGTTCCTGAGCGCTGTGGCCTTCGAAGGCGCCCTGCCCACTGCTGGGTCTGGTGTGGCCACTTGTGGATGCGGCAGTGGACAGGTTGGCATCGTTAGCGAAGGTTTCGGCCGCCCCTCCATCTACTACTGAAGTAGTGGTGACTTCAAATGAAGAATAAATGATTGTGGATACCATACATAACCTTCTCTTTTAATTTACCATCATTTTTAGCTTTCCCTGTGCTGATTTTAAACTCAAATTTCTGATTCATTTCATTGAAGTTCAAAGACAATTCTGGTCTATGGAAAAAAAACAGTTATATTATGATGATACTTTGAAATGAAATGCTCTTTGATGACACCATATAAAAAGGAACACAGTTCATGATAACGACACGTATTATGTGAGAATGATTCACTGGGTCTGGGTCACTACGTCATAATCGTCTAATAAACAATACCCAGTTATTTTTGTTGACGAAGCATAATGTATTTGCGATTTCTTGGTCAGCAGCATGCACAAAACAAACGGCACAATATTTATGTATGTGATAAAAGTTAGTTGCACATAAAGGAAACAAAAGACAAACTTAATGCCATACCTATGGCGTTTTCTCCCAGTCAACCTTTGGATTGAACAAAAAAAAAATAAAAAATATTACGAACGTGTCGCCAAAATTGATTCATTTTGGACGATGCGGAAAAGAGACAATTGCTCAATGGCACAGATTACTAATCATGTATGCCAGGGGTGGCCAAACTTTTGATCTGTGACCTACTATGCTCGAAAATTCAAAAAACCCTCCACTAAAGTGCTTTTGTACAGGTCCTTGGTCCGCTCTGATCTCGAATATTGCAGTCAGATCTGGTCTCCACATTACGATGTTCACATAAATGTTCAGAAACGTTTTTTGTGGCATTTTTCATACCAGACTAGAAAGGCAAAAGAGCTGCCCTCTTATGGAGAGCGACTGGCCTACTTCAAACTGCACAGCTTGCGGGAGCGGAGGATGCTCTTGGATCGTATGCTATTGTACAAACTCGTCAACGGAGCCGTCGATTGTCCCTCACTTTTGAGCTCACTTAATTTTAACGTACCGCTTAAGCTTCCACGTTCCTGCAAGTATGTCCCATTCGCAACAAAATGTAGTAAAACCAATCTGGGTTACCACGCCACCATGAGCAGACTGCAGAGGGAGTACAACAGACTGTGCAATGCATGTGACGTCGACATTTTTTATCATAAACCATTGAAATTCAGGCGCGCTGTGCTGAGGTCCCTTACAGCCACAGCAAATACGTAAATAATGTATAAGAAAATTATTCATGATGTTCATTAGGTACATTTCAAATTTTCACTGTGTTCATATTATCTCTTAGTTTTTATATTTGCAACTGTCTACATTGCATGCCGTGGCAGCCTTTAATTAAGACAGCACTTAATTTTAAGCACTTTTAGTTATAGTAATTTCATGTATGCGTGTTTGTCTTGTTGGTTGTCCTAATAAATAAAATAAATAAATAAATACATAAAATATTTCTTGCGGTCGGCTGCAAGAAGAATGAAATAAAACATTTTTCATTTTCAATCATTCTGTTCAGTTTATTTAACTTTCGCGGGCTACCAAAATAGTCTTCGCGGTCGATCGGTAAACCGCGGTCGACCTCTTGGCCATCACTGATGTATGCCAATGCACAATGGTGTCAGCTTCGGACTGGCCGAAATAGAACGCAGGCTCGAACCCCGTCAACCCTGGACTATTGTGAACCCACTCGTAATACATAAAGATAATTAAGTTCTAAGCTCTCGTGAGTCAACTCACTGGCCGGCCATGGTCCTATAGCTTATGCTGAGTAAAGTTCTTTTCCATGTTATACTTTACTCTAGCACTAATTTGTATTGTCTTAATTTTGTCTTTTACTGTCATTGTTCCTTATTGTTGTTCTTTGTAATGTTTGGTAATTTTAGTAATTAATATTTTAACCTATGTACTTAATAAACACAGAAAACGCGATGGTAACTAATTAATGTGTCAAGAAATAGTTACGTATTACGTTTTGAAACAAAAATAAAGGTGTTATGCAAGTGTTATTTAAAGAGCAAATTAATTACAGAGATGCTCATTGTCAACATAATTAACATAAAATGTCTAAGATCCAAAGCTCACGATGCGTTGAGTGGAAGTCAGCTTAACAGAAGAGTGAAATAATAAATCTAAAAGATACACTATAAACATAAAGGATAATATGCTTCCGAATAATAAACAGAGGCTACAATTCATATAATGTTTATTTCATGGTAAGTTTCAAGTATGAATGTTTTAGTTTTGTTGTTTTTACAACTTAACGCCACCGCAGGGGCAGTTTCCAGCAATGGACACGACGCCACTGGCGGGGATGTTGCCATTGAACGACACCGCACCAAGCACTGGCAGCTGGCCGGTCACGATGGCGGTACCAGCAGCACCGAAGTCGCCAGCGGCACCCAGGGTACCGTAGCCAGTACCGCCGTACGGGCCAGAGACTGGCAGAGCGGCAACGGCGGCAACGTCTGAGGGGGCGTATCCGCCAGTGAAGCCGCTGCCAACGTTGCCTGCAGACCAGCCACCAGCGTTGATGCTGCCAAGTCCGATGGCGTTGGCGCTGCCAAGTCCGATGGCTTTGGCGCTGCCAAGTCCAATTGCGTTAGCGCTTCCAAGTCCGATTGCGTTGGCGCCACCAAGACCGATTACGTTTCCACCACCAATGTTAGCGCTTCCAAGTCCGATGGCACTGGCGCCGCCAAGTCCGACATTGGCGCTGCCATAACCGATTGCGCTGGCACCGCCAAGTCCGATGTTGGCGCTGCCAAGTCCGTATCCAGAGGCGCCGACTCCGTAGCCGCTGAGGCCTCCGGAGATTCCGTAGCTGAGAGCGTCGACTTCAACGTCCATGGGGTTGTAGTAGCCTAACACTTGCGAGAAGGCATTCTGGAATAAAACAATATTATTTGTTTGGTAATGAAAGTTTAGGATTAAAATAAATTTTGACAATCAATGTCCATTTCCTTCATTAGCTTTGAAGCCCTAAACTTTTTCTTCTTCTTGTCGTGTTGACAACCAACCTATACAGTGTCAGTGTCCTCTTAATAATTTTTTTAAACATCAACAAAAAATGGTTGGAAACACTAGGACTGTACAAGTTTTTGCCACTTTATTAGGCTGAATTTAAGCCGCCGCAGTAATGAGCAAAAGTGGTGGATAGATCCAAACAATGCTTTCGCCAATAAGGATTCAAAATGGAGACAGGTCTCAATACATAATGTAAATTACCATTGATGATATTATAGGAAAAAGTCATATTTAAAATTTTCTGTACCTGGATCAGGCAAGCCTGGATGCAGAGGAGAACGAAAGAGAATGAATACATGTTTAATTCGGATTCTGAATTTTGAATGGCAATAGGTTTGTAGGGCACGGTATTTATACATATTTTTGAAATAACACACTATCATACTTTCGTAATTTTTACTGTACGCATCATTATCAAATCACGTAGCAGTGTCGTAGCTACTTGGTTTAGTTTCTGGTTAAGTATCTTTAACATTTGTAAAAATAATGTGGTACAACTTATGCAAATATGATAAGAAAATGTTGGTAAATTATAAGTTTATATCAAAATTAAGTAGTATATAAACTGCTGTGGATGATACAGAAACCATTATCGTCTTGTCAACCAAGGAAAAACAAAGATGGCAGCTAAAATAACTTTTGTCTGTGCTTTGGCACTCTTCGGGCAGGTAAATTAACTTCGTTTAATAAGCTAACACATGTTTCGAGTTCCTAGATGAGTTCACGGTATCATCAAAATAATTATAGTCTCAAACTAAGTAAAACTTGTACCATAAGTACTACAGATCTAATATACACAACTACTTTTTGTAAATCATAAAATATTGGTTGGTAGTATATTTAGACAACACACTGATCAATTCATCTCAACTTCGTTCGTCGTAGCCAAATTTTCAATCACTTTAAGGAAACTGACGAAATATTTTATTTCAGGCTGTCGTAGCCCAGTACTACCCGTCTGGTTCCTACGTCACTGGCAACTCCATTGTTGACAACGACATCTTCATCAACGGTGCCGGCAGTGCTTATGCCTCTGGCAGTGCTTACGCCTCTGGCTCTGGCAGTGCTTATGGCTCTGGCAGCGCTTATGCCTCTGGCTCTGGCCTCGCTGTAGGCGGCGGCAGTGCTTACGGCTCTGGGCTCGCTGTGGGTGGACTTGGCCTTTCAAGCGGACTTGGTCTCTCAAGCGGACTTGGCCTCTCAAGCGGACTGAGCCTTTCCAATAACCTTGGCACCATCGGCGTCGCCGCTCCTGCCATCAGCAGCGCCACTCTTGGCGGACTCTCAAGCTACAACATCGTGTCTGGCGGTCCTTTGGCTGTCACCGCCATCTCCCCCATCGGTCCCAGCGGTCTTGCCGTCGCTTCTGAGAACGCCATCGAAGGAAACCTGCTGGTGACCGGTCAGCTGCCGTTCCTGAGCGCTGTGGCCTTCGAAGGCGCCCTGCCCACTGCTGGGTCTGGTGTGGCCACTTGTGGATGCGGCAGTGGACAGGTCGGCATCGTCAGCGAAGGTTTCGGTCGCCCCAGCATCTACTACTGAAGTGGTGGTGACTTCAACTGAAGCAAATAAAGAATTTATGACTTTGGATATCATACATACATTTTCTTTTAAATAACTGGCATTTTTAGAGTTACCTTTCCCGATTCTGAACTGCAACCTCGTACTACCTTCTTTGAATTCTAATTTTACACATTTAACTTCTAGTTAACTACAATTTCATGAAAAGTTCAAGTGCAGTTCTAGTCTAAGGAAAAAATAACAGTTTTCTTTCTTATGGAATGCAAAGGCTTCTTTATTTTTGAAATGCTCTTTGATGATACCCTAAAAAAATTGGCCAAGTTCGTATCGTGCCACGCGCAGTATAGGGTTCCATAGTTGTCCGTCGTTACCACAATATATTTCAGAAGCAAGCAATTACCTCATCTAAAGTCACTTTTCATATTTTCTTCTTTGGATTTTTTATGAGTTATGAAATTTTATAATACATGAGTTAAACGACTATTACTCTTCAACTAATCAATATATATCTTAACCGTTATAGTTTTCCTTGAAAGTTCATAAAAAGAACTATTATTGTGAATTTTTCCAGATTTTTCAAGCCAACAGCTTAGTTTTTAGAGGGGGGGACTCGAACAAAAATTGGCACTTTAAACTTAAATATTTTACAAACGGATCCATAAACCGAGAACTAGTCTTAGAAACCCCTAAGCAAGTTTAAAAGACCTATCCAACAATAACCCACACGACACGATGGGGTAGAAGACGAAAAAAAATCATCCCCACTTTACATAAAATGGTTTTCCAAATTTTATTGTACCACTTTGTCGCCGTGATTATTATACATACCCCCACAAAATTACAGCTCTCTAGTGTCAATAGTTTCCAAGCAAAACCTCGGACGGATAGACAGACAGAATCGAAACTATAAGGGTTCCTTGTCAGGACTACGGAACCCTAAAAAGGAACACAGTTCAAGATACGTATATGACTGTGAAAATGATTGACCGGTAATATAGTAATTGATTACTCGTAAGAACTGGCAAAGCTCTCCCTTCAACTTATTGGAAAGAAGTCCTGAAGTTTTTAAATGGGGCAGACTACACAACACAATGTTAATAGCATTGTTGTGTTTCGGCAGATAAAGTAAGTTGAAAGTTCCTCTGTAGTTGAGGATTCCAGGTGAAGCTCGCTTCCACCTTCGGCCTGATCTTCACTTTCTATCAGGTGAGATAAGGGTTTCCTCGTTGTAGATGAAAAAATAGATGTGGAGGCTACGGGATTTACTGGGCATAAAGTACTTCAGACCGGCACACTACATTAGATTTAAAATTTTGTAAGAGATAGAATCAGTTAGTAATGCCCTAAAGTAGATAAAATAATAAATTAATAAAAAAGACTACTATAAATTATGCAGAGTTTTTTGAACCAAGGAAAATGGCTTGTCCTGGAGGCTATGTGAGGCTCCAACCCATCAAAAACTTTGGGTGTTCTTTCTGCCGCTTAGTGGTCGGCGCCACAATGACACAATACAACTAAAAAATAAAATAATATAAATTATAACAAAAGGGAATGAAACATACGTACTTACTTGAATACTAAAACACTAATGACTACATAATCGTGTAATGTAAACAATACCCAGTTATTATTGTCGACAAAGCATAGTTAATGAACCTACCTAAGGTATTTGCAATTTTATTTGTCAGCATGCACAACACAAACTGCTAATGGTACAATATTTCTGTATGAAATAAAAGTTAGTTGCACATAAAAGAAGGGACAATATTATTTGATCCTCTAAAAACTAATTGATCTTTTTTGTATGTGCACTTTTAAAAATAAATGATGTTTTTTATTATATTTTATCTTTATATTAATTATTGGGTCTATATTAGTTGATCTACGGATAAATTATGAATGATCTTCATTAAAGGTAACATAATATTTATTTTTAACATACTCTTTTAATATTTGGTAAACAAAAATAATATTTGATCCTCTTTTTTAGTTATTGATCTTTAATTTTGTTAATTTGATGATTTTTATATCAAGTTTGCCTTTTAATATTGATCACCTAATAAATACATTTCAATCTATGTATAACTTAACTTTAAAATATATTTGATCTAACAAAAAATATTATTGGTTAATATTTTTAATTAAAAAATATCTTTCAATTTACGCGGTACTTTGTGGTTGAGTGACAATCGTCGGTCATTGGTTACTGAGTTGGCCAAGGGCTTAGCGGCCAATAAGCAAGCAGAATGGTACATTGCCATGTTTGTTTAAATTACAAGCTTTGCTTAGTTTGGGACTAGAGGCGCTATGTAAAATAATTTCTTACTTCTGACATCCCTGAACCCGACATCATAATTTTTACCTCTTTATTTTTTTCAAATCGCAAGGTTTATTTTCTCTTAGTATACCGATCTCGACCGTGATCAGTGACCATAAAGTCATCTGTCAACGGGTCGATTAGACCCGATAAAATCACTAAACGATATTTGTTTACTTTTAGTGCGACATCGGGTCGTAAGGTAACTTATTAAATCAGATAAGTTTTTTTTTCCAAATATTTACTGTGTTTGACGAACAATTGCAAAACAATATTTTTCTTTCGTACTACTGAAAAGACCGAATATATCCATCCCGCACCAACGCATCCAGCACCTAAGGTCAATTCGACCCGATAACGCAGTGTGAACGTGTTAAGTATGCTTTTTTAATAAAAAAAAAACCTTGAACATCAAATGTCTTTAAATAGTTTCCATCCTTTGACTACAACTTAATAAAAATAAGTACCATAACATAATTATTTTGAAGATTATTTGTTATAGACAAAAAATAATTTATACAAATCGAACTATTTAAAAAAGTATCACAATATTGAATTTTTGGTGCTCATTTCTTTTATTTTTGAGGACCAACAAGTAACGATCAGATATAATTTTTACATCTCAAATTTTTTTTGCGTAGTTCAAAAGAGGTTAAAATATCGATCGATTTCATTTATTTTATGTCTCAAAGAAAGAGGATCAATCATTAAAATAGATGACCATTTAGATTTTTTTATTTGCCGTTTTCGCTAATTTAAAAAGATCATTTAAATACATGCCATAAAAGAAACAAAAGGGAGCTGAATGCCATGCCAATGGCGTTTTCTCTCAGTCAACTTGTGTACAAAAGCCAATTTTTTAACGTGTTATAAAATTTTATGAATTAGGTATTTTATCTGCTTAATCTTAATGTATAAAGAAATAAAAAAGATTATGTATTTTCAAACAAAAATAATGTTGTAATATTATTATGTAAATTATTCTTTGAAATACAACCTAATCACAGTGATGTTCATGTAGATATAACATAAAAAATATACCTTAGTCAGTAGCTAGCGAATTGCTGAATTTCATGCATCGAATTGCTGAATGTCAGCTTGAGTTTGGTAGAAAAGTGAAATAAAAGTCAAAGTAGATGTAAATGTGCTTTCGAATAATAAACAGATGCTTTAATTCATATAATGTTTATTTCATGGTAAGTTTCAAGTATCGATGTTTTTGTTTTGTTGTTTTTACAACTGTACGCCACCGCAAGGGCAGTTGCCAGCGATGGACACGACGCCACTGGCGGGGATGTTGCCGTTGAAGGACACCGCGCCAAGCACTGGCAGCTGGCCGGTCACGATGGCGGTACCAGCAGCACCGAAGTCGCCAGCGGCACCCAGGGTACCGTAGCCAGTACCGCCATACGGGCCAGAGACTGGCAGAGCGGCAACAGCGGCAACGTCTGAGGGGGCGT